CCCCAAAACCCCAAAACCCCAAAACCCCAAGATAGGCTGAGATAATTGAAAGACCCTTAAAAATTAGTCGTAAAGTTTTACTAAAGCAAGAAATAATAATTTTTAATAAAAATGGAAGACAAGCGAAGCTACATCTCAGATAAGCTTCACTCAGCACTGGGTATTACAGATGATACTCTGGTAGAATGTGTCGAAAGAATGATCGACATTGCTGCCGATGAGAAGGTTCTGACCGGTAAGCTAACCAGTCTTGGATTTGCTGAGGATAAATCAACCTTTACCCTCGCACAAGATCTCGTTCAAAAATTCAAAAATGCACCAGCTACTAAGAGCGACATCAAGCAGAGAGAGGAGCAACTTCTCGAGAAAAATAAAGAATACTCTAGTTACAAAATGGTTCAAGACGGAGATGACACTGATGAAGAAATCCAAAAACTTCAGAAACTTAATGAGCAGCAAAAAGAGAATCTTGAACTTCAAAAAATTGCAGAAGCCGAAGGAAATACAGAACTCGCCAAAGCTCTAAAGGAAAAAGATAAGCTGGAGAGAGATCTTCTTGTTAAAAGAATGCTTGAGAAGGACAAAGATAAGAACAAAAGGAATGGGATCGTTGAAAGCCAAGCTACCAGCATGATGGCCCTCACTGAAGAAGACAAAAAGAGGCTTATCCCAGAACTTAGAGAAGAAGCAAGGATTAAATATCTCGAAAAGAGAGAAGAGCAACAACTCGATATTGCTGAGAGAACCCAAAGAGAGCAAGATAGGCTCTTTGCTGGCCAGAACCTTACTGAAGAGGAAATTAAGATCAATGAACTCAATAGAAAAATTATTGAACTGGCAAAGAAGAGAAAGAATAGAGACAATAAACTTGATTTATACCAGATGCCTGATGCTTACGAAGACGAGCATGGATACCAAGCAAGAGACAAAAAGAAGCAAGTACTATTGAAGCGGTATGAAGAAGAAAAGACTGAGCTTACCGAGCAAGAGAAATGGGAGCAGACACAAGACAACAAAACTGGCTTCGCCATTGGGGCTCAACAAAGAAAGGGAAAAGATAAAGAACAAAACGAATATGACCTTCTTATTGAGAATCAAATTGATTTCCTACAAAGTGAGATGCTAGATGGAGAAATGAAGAATTTGATGGAGAAAAAGATGAAGAAGAAAGGTTCCAGTTCAAGTAGCTCTGATTCTTCTAAATTAGATGATGACTCAAGCTCTAATGATGAAGAAGATGAACCAATGACTGAGTTTGAAAAAGAAAGAAAGAATATAGCCGATCAAAGGAGGTCACTTCCTGTGTATGCTTTAAGAGATGAATTTTTAAAAGCAATAAGAGATAACCAGGTCTTAATCATTGTTGGAGAGACTGGGTCTGGAAAAACTACTCAATTGCCACAATATCTAGATGAAGTAGGTTATACTAAGAAAGGAAAGATAGGTATCACCCAGCCAAGAAGAGTGGCAGCAATGTCTGTTGCAGCAAGAGTTGCTCAAGAAAAGAATGTGAAATTAGGCCAAGAAGTTGGATATAGTATAAGGTTCGAAGATTGTACTTCTGATACCACAAGTTTGAAATATATGACAGATGGAATACTTCTCAGAGAGTTCTTAACTGAACCAGATCTCAAGAGCTATAGCTGCCTTATGATCGATGAGGCTCATGAAAGGACACTTCATACAGATATATTATTTGGGTTGGTGAAAGATGTCACCAAAAATAGACCTGATCTAAAGTTGCTTATTTCTTCAGCAACCCTTGATGCAGAAAAGTTTGCTCAATACTTTGACAATGCTAAAATATTCAAAATTCCTGGGAGAAGATATCCAGTGGATATTTACTATACCAAAGCTCCTGAATCTGACTACATAGAAGCAGCGGTTATTACAGCTCTACAAATCCATGTAACTCAGCCAGCCGGAGATATCTTAATCTTCTTGACTGGTCAGGAAGAGATTGAGACAGCCACTGAAATGATTCAGCAAAGAGTAGCAGGACTTGGGTCCAAGATTTAAGGAATTAATGATTAGACCTATCTACTCTTCCCTTCCTTCAGAGCTTCAAGCTCAAATCTTTGAGCCAACTCCTCCAGGAGCTAGGAAATTAGTGCTTGCCACTAATATCGCAGAAACCTCTTTGACTATCGATGGTATTATCTATGTCATTGATACAGGATTTGTGAAAATGACAAGTTATGATCCCAAATCTGGAACAGAGAGCTTGGTCGTAACTCCTGTATCAAAAGCAGCAGCTAATCAGAGAGCAGGAAGAGCTGGAAGAGTTAAAGCAGGGAAATGATTCAGGCTTTATACTTCTTGGTCCTACCAAAATGAGTTAGACCCAAACCCTGTCCCAGAAATTCAAAGGACTAACCTTGGAAGTGTTGTGTTGATGCTTAAAGGTCTTGGAATAGATGACTTGATTCATTTTGATTTCCTTGATCCTCCACCAGCTGAAACTTTAATTAGAGCTCTTGAACAGCTGTATGCCCTTGGATCTCTGAATGATGAAGGAGAACTAACAAAGCTTGGGAGGAGAATGGCTGAGTTTCCTCTCGATCCAATGCTTTCCAAGATGATTATTAAATCAGAGGATTACAAATGAATTGATCAAATTATATCCATAGCAGCCATGGTTTCTGTTGGAAACTCTATATTCTATCGACCAAAGGAGAAAGCTCTGCATGCAGATAATGCAAGGAAGAACTTCTTCAGGCCAGGAGGGGACCACCTCACTCTTTTAACAGTTTTTGAACAATGGAAAGAGGCTGATTACTCCCACAACTGGTGCTTTGAGAATTTCCTTCAAGTCAGATCAATGAAAAGAGCAAGGGACGTTAAAGAACAGCTCATTGAATTATGTAAAAGGGTAGAACTTGATTATGCTGATGAATCTTTAAGCATCTCAGACGATACTTATGTCAACATCAGAAAGACAATCAGTTCTGGGTTCTTCTACAATACTGCTAAGCTGAAGGATTCTGGAGAGTATAGGACCTTGAAAAATTCTAAGACAGTTGATATTCATCCATCTTCCTGACTCTTTGAGATAAAGCCAAAGACAGTTGTGTATCATGAACTTGTGAGCACCTCCAAGGAATATATGAGGCAAGTTATTGAGATAGAGCCAGAATGGTTACTAGAAATTGCTCCTCATTATTACAAGCCGATTGATATTGTAGACCCAGAGAAAAACAAAAAGAAGAACAAAATGCCTATAAATAGGTAATATCTTAAGTTTCAATGGTGTGCCAATTATTAGGGGTTTTGGGGTTTTGGGGTTTTGGGGTTTTGGGG